GAACAGTTAGCTGAGTTGAGTAGGTCTCTGGAGGTATTTATCCAATGGTTCATTTCACTGCAGGCTTCTGTTTGTAAATTTTCTTAAAGACCCCTTGATTTGATATGTTTATTCAATCTGCAGTTGTAGTCTTCTGGGGACATACTTTAGAATAGCCCTTTTCTTTTCTATAAAGCAATGTTCAACCACGAGTTTCCTTCTGCTCCTCAGGAATGCTAGAAAACTCAACACTTGGTGAGAAGGCAAAGATTAAAGTGATGGTGTGCTGTAATGAAAGTAGTCTTTCATCCAAGGAGCCACAAGTTATTAGCAGTGTCTGATGGGTCTTTGGTTCATTAGAGATGATTTACGTGTCATCGAAAATACAACCCATTTTTCAAAATCAGCAGGAAAAACGAAAATATACATGATATACACAATTTTAAAAACTGTTTTCTTCCTAGCCATATTAGTCCCCACCCCACCCCCACCTTATTTTCCTTCAATCTAGAAAGTCTGTCCCAAGAGCCTGCCTGACGAGACCGTTTATCTGCCTCCTGCCTCGGGAACTCACGCGTGTATTCCAGCGTCTCTTCTCCCAATCTTTGTTCTGACAGGAGCCACAGTATTTGTGATGAGCTAGAATTCAAGGAAAAGCAAAATAATGTTAACGTGTAAGATGAGGTGCTATTGCTTATTTTACCAAACGCCTGGTTTTTGCCGACATAGAAAAGATTAGGAAGTGTCTGTGTGGAGTGAAAATGGATTTTTACAGAACCTGGAAAATTTTAGATTCACAATCCTTCAGGTTTGTTTTGTTTGTTTGTTTGTTTATTTGTAGCAAGGAAGCACAGAATAGATGTTTTGTCTCACATGCATTACAGTTTCTGTATTTAAAAAATTATTATTAGGCTTATTGGTTACAACAGGGCATAAAATACCACTTCCAAATATGCACCACTACATTCTATAGGTATAATTATAATGCCATCACCAGTGGCCCAATTTCATAATTTCTCTGTGCCCCCAAAGGGGATTTTGTATAACTGAAAGATTTGTCAGACTGTGGTCTCAACTTGATGCTTTCCATAGGGTCTGTTTTATCAGTGTATAAATCTAACATTTATTTGCCTTCTTTATTTGCTAGTATGTGTCCACTAATTTCAGCCCCTTTCCCCAAGAGCGGCAAATACAAAGGAAGCTCCTAAGGCTTCCATTAACCAACCCTGTGTTGGGCGAGCCCATCTAACAAAGTTAGCTTTTCAGTGGTGTTTCATCAACAGTCTGGGGATTGGGACTGAAGAAAGCATCGTTTCCTCAAGTGTTGAAAAGACCAACTTGTACAGGACCAATGCTTTGTTTCTTCCTTGCCCAGGAAGCTTTCCACTGCCCCTCTCGCCACCTGCCCAGTTCTGCTCAGCACCAGCTTGGCATCTAACCTAAGGCTGTGAATTTAAGTCAGGAGCTCCACCACCTCAAGCTGTGGGTGCCCCTACCCTGTCTCCTGTGGGCAGTGGTGGCCTCGGAAGGGGCTGCTTACCACTGTCTGCCCATGCATCCAGCAAATATGGAGAGTTGGGCTATACTTAAATGTATGCCCACCTGTGCAGCTTTTTCTTACTATTTTGTTCAGACGATCTTTTCTTCGTAATAATGGCTCTGGTATATTGAACTTGGCCAGCAGAGCCCCAGGATGTCTCTCAGTCCTTCTCTCTCTCTCTTTATTAGGGAACCTTACATTTCAGTGGCTAGTAGAAGGGTATCCTTCCAGTGTGTACAACTCGAGAGGGTACTGTAATAGTTGACTCAGGAGTGGGTAAATAAAGGATTTGGCTTTTTGGGGTAAATGCACAAGTGAGTGGTTGACCAAATTCTGTGCTTTGACAAGGGTGAGTGTTGAGGATGGACGTGTGAATGGGTGCCCGCCACTAGACTCATGGCGCCCTGTCTTGTAGGGGCACTTCTGATACCAAGCAATTGCCTCTATTGCTCCACAAATCTCTGCAAACACATCTCATCGCACTGATCCATCCGTCAGTGTGTACCGCCCCTCCCATCCTATACCTAGATTAGCCTCCTTGGACGTTCTTTCTAGGAACCACTCCTTGACTTCAAGTCTCTGCAAAGTTCGCCTGTAAGTCCTCTATAAGCATTCATGTGTAGGTCTATACAGCTTTATGAATAGCTTCTCTCTATGTATGCAATAGGTAGGTAAGTAAGTAGGCAAGTAAGGTAGGTAGATAGGAAGGTGGTGAGGGAGAGGGAGGGATGGAGAGAGAGAGAGAGAGAGAGAGAGAGAGAGAGAGAGAGAGAGATGAATTAAGTAACCTGCTTTTGCCTGAGCCTGTTTCTTAGGATACTTGAAACAAATTTTCAGGACCCTAAATTTAATGCATACTTTTTAAGTTGATTGAATGATAGCACATTTAACTGCCCACCTAATTCTAGCTCAGAGTTTACATGTATTCAAAAATTGCCACGTATCAATAACATTCATTCATTCATTCAAAATATTTAATGAGTGCCATATGTGACCGGAACAAGAGAGGAAGGCATGGTCTTGGCCCTCGAGGAGCTGCAGCCTGGCGGGCGGGGGAGGGGGGGGACAGGTAGAGGAATAATTACGGTCCCATTAGATAAGTGCTATAATGGGGGCAGGCTTATTTATAAACCATGAAAGATCAAGTCCAGCAAGAGAATTAAGGGTTTACCAGAGCCAGGCTCCTAAATGTCAGTAGACCCAGTCATGGCATATATTTCATGGTTTGGATTGACAAGTAGAAATCTGGAAACAACTATGCTGATTTAGCCAGCAGCGGAGGATTTGTAAATAAAGTCCGTGGCTCGCTCTGATTTTTTGATTTTTGAGTGGTAGCCTTTCTTAGTGGAGACATGGACCTGAAGTAGATGAAGCCTGACTCTTTTGACTTCTCAGTAATCTCAGTCTTTTCTTTTGAGTCCAGGAAACAATAACAAACACAGCCTTTAGTACAGAACAGTTTCATCTTCAGAAGAAATAAAATTACAAATGAAATACCTTTCAAGCTCGTGTAACTTGACCATTCTTAATACCTTAAACTGTTCAGTAAGTTCAGCGTGGAAATATGGAAAAGAAACACATGGGAAATAATCCTGGAATATCAAATATACAGATTTTGATTGAAACATGTTCTCAGGACAGGTAGGGAGAGGATGGGAATTTCGGGGGAATCAGAGGGGGCTTTGTCTTGGGCCTGTTCCCTTCTGTGAGGAATGAGACTGGACTTTGTCTCACCACATATAGGTGCACTGTGGGCGATTTTTGTGAAAGCACTTTGTAAACTGTAAAGCGTTTTACCAATGTAAGGCGGGATTATTATCATTATTTTAAAATGCTACCTTATCGCCTGGAAAAGTTAACATGCCTCCAGAGAGTAACTCTAGCAATGAAAAACGTCTAGTTTTTATAGTTTTTATAATATCTCTGCCCTAATTATGCAAGGAATCCTTTCAGAGCAATGCTGGTGGATTTTAAGGTTCAGTTCTGAAATTTTGTGTAATTTAAAATAGAGTGTTATATTGTTGTTTTCCCCCTCTGTTTAGCAGACCACAAATACATCCCTTTGATTTTTATTTACTCATAGCCTGAGATTATTATAAAGCTGTTTCTCATTAAAATTATAAAAACACTGTGCTTTCATAAGGATTCCAAATTTTAGGGATCTAGTTGTTTATGAGTCTTAGATTGTCCAAAAAGCAACATCTTTGTGCTGACAGTGGATAAGGCCTATGTTTTTCAGCGTTGATAAATGTGAGCAAAACAACTGTGAGAATTACTCCAGCATTTCAAAATTACATCCCAAATGATCCAAGCTTGGAATGCTTTTCCTGAAAAATTTGTGCGTAAATACATACATTCATTAAATTATAAATCTAAGATATAAACTTGTAAGATATCATCCAGTTGAAATCTCCCATTTTGCAGATAATAAAACCAAGGCTTAGAGAGCCTCAGTTATTTGCCTGAAGTCATTCAACTAGGTAATGGCAGAGTCAGAACCTGAATTCAGATCTCTGGACGTCCACTGCAGTGGCTTTCCTACCATGCTGACAGGTAGAAGTTCAAGTACTTTTACAAAAAGTGGTACTGAAGTTGACATGTTCTCTGTAATTTTACCTTTGGCAATATTAAGATCATGTCTATTTTTTTTCCCCTTAAAATGACATCTATATTTAAATACCTGTGCTGGAGATTATGTGAGGCATATAGAGTAAGAAACGCTGAGAGCCTCTTTTGGGCTCCTCATTTGAATTTGAGCATGCAAATTAATTCCGAAAGCAAACGAGAATGGGCAGCTAGGTGGCTACATTCTTTTTTTTTTTAAGATAGCTGAATGTAGAGTAGATTTTAAAACACTACATTTATTGTCCATGTCTTGAAGTATCCCCAAACCCCATTCTTCTTGAAGGTGTTGAGTCTTTCTGAAGGTTCAGACTTGATCAGCCGTGAAACTGTGACCTAATGTAAACTTGCCAAGAAATAGTATAATAATATCCTTGCCCTGAGGGTAAAACACTCAACTCTAGGTTTTTCTCTTTTATCCTTGCTCAGACTACAGTCATATTTCTTTGTTAGTATTTCCTCTTTGCATTGTGGTACAATTGACGTTGATAGATAGTATGGAGAAACTGAATTCGAAAAGAAAAAAAGAAAAGGGGGAGAAAAAAAAAAAGCTCTTACCCTGTTGGCTCAAAAATAATGTGTGTGGAGAGCTCTCTAGCTGGCCTCTCCATTCGTTTTCTTCCTTGAGCTGCAGCTGCTGACAGCAGACACACTGAGCTATCATTTGGCCACATTTGGCTCATGTAAATTGTGATAAACAGTGAGCCTATAATATTTATTTTAAAGATTCATTCGGTGAAGGTAAGCATTCTTGACTTGTGTATACATGCTAGGAAGTGGGAAGCTGCAGATGGAAAGATCAGCTCTTAATTTCATGCCACACAATTAATACAGCTGCTTGATGCTCTCTTCCCCACAGGTGCAGGGGTGTTGGGACCCTTTGAAGAAGTGTGTAGCTAATAGCCCCATATATAATTCAGAAGACGTCTTCGATGGAAGACCCCCGGGGGATAAATGGACTGTCTGTAAGTAAACAGAATGTCAGTCTTAAGGAAAGAGTTATTACTTTGAAAATCGTAATTACTATTTTTGTTGTAACCTGAGTGTCTAGAAATTCCTCACGAGCTCTGTACCAATTTTTAATGATTTTAAAACTTATGAATTAAGTAGTACACTATTTCCTCAGCCTAGCCCACTTGATATCTTTTTTCGAGGTATCAGTTATCAAAAGTAGAGTTCCAGAGGGCAAAGCCAACCCTTACTATTACTTAAATACACCAACACGCATCACATAATTTTGAGACTTAACATTTTTCTTTGCCTCAGGGAACAAATACATTTTGTCTCATAAAACTTGAAATGAATATCTAAGTTTGGATTGTTTTATATGCATTTGTTTTATGAATACATGTGTGTATGTGTGTATATCTTTCAACTGTGTGTTTAGAATGACAGTTTCACAGTTTGATGAACTTTAGAATGGGCTTTCAATGAAGGAGAGCCTTGGGTCTCTTAGGTTTTATTTCGTTTGTTTATTTTGTGAGCAGAAGAAAAAAGATTTAGAAATTTTCCCCAGGTTCCTATCAGGAAGAGAGAAGTCTCTTTTGGCTCATAAACAGATATTGCCAGTTAGAGGTAATCTTATAAATAACCTTTGGGTGAGTCAGAACTTGAATAAGTCCGTGGATATTAATTTTCAAACAGAATGTTTCAGTGTGTGAGAGCCTCCATAGCAGTATTTGGGGTGGCCTATGTGACTTTGCCCTTTAAGTCCTCTGATCATGATGTTCGTATACCTGTGGTTTCATAGCTCGGCTTTGTTCACAGTAGAATTATTACAAAACCGAAGTGTGATCTTTAGTAATGCTGTTGTGGTTCCTGTAAATGTGTGTTTTACAAGACCTATTGGTGCTGTGCAATAAGTAGGAACTGCTAATGGACACGGATTTTAATAACAAAGGGTCAAGTGCTATCAAGGTACTTTTGCAGTCATACTGGAGGCAATTACGGAGTGTGTTTTATGGATCTCCTCAATCATCTTGTGAGGTAATTCACACAGAGCCCTTCCAGATCATTCTGTATGATGTAGCTTTTACCCTGAACAAGAAAAGCACCCTTAACCCATTTAATTTGTTTGTTTGTTCTTTCAAGCTCCTGTGATGGGCCAGGGATATTCGATTTTATTATTATGTTAAAAATACTTTTGTAGTGGCTGTAAAATAAATGAAAAATAAACTCTCTAATAATGGATTCCTTACTGCCCTCTTTGATGTAACTTTGCTCCTTACATTGATGGAAGTTGTTGTGTGGAGGAGTCCCAACAGATTTAGCAATGTCTGCAAATAAATGCCGATAATATTTATTTTGCTATTTTATATTATGCAAATTTTAATTTAAGGATTCAGAAATTAAGATTTGAGACTGAAATAGAAAAATAGGTAAAGAATGTAATGATTCATTTTTTTGTTTTGCCTATCTAAGAAAAAGATGGGTTTAGTGGGCATCTCATCACATATCGTTTTGAGTTTTTTTGTTTTGTTTTTTAATCACATGAGGAGTAAAGCAGTTTTGGTCTTGAGAGCTACTTGGCCTCAACGTCACATGGTTCTTTCTCTCCTGGATAGACGTGTATGTGACAAGATGGGAGAGGAGGCAGTGAAGCCCCTTCACTTCTTTCTTTTAGGCCAGGACCCCTGGGCTGGACAGGAGGCTAACAAGAGTGTCACCAGTGTTCTTTTAGCCCCATGACAGCTGGGGAGCCCAGAGCGGCTCTGTGGGAGGGGCCAAGAGGAGCTCCCCTGGCATTGCAGTGGGCAGTGAGGTGGCATAGTGCAGGGGCCCCTTAAACATGTTCACTCGTAATCTTGGTGCTGTTACGCTTTGTGAGATTTGAAGCTAAAAGGTTTGAGGTGGCTCGTGACACTTGAGGGAAGAAAAATTATTGATTATTTGAACATCAAAAAGCACGATGTGCCTGTAATGTAGCCTGGTGACCCTAGCAGCACTTGGGCGCTGTGTCTATCATGTGACAAGGGACCATGGGCAGAGAGGAAGTAGTTTCTCATTTGGATCCTAAGTAGACACAGCACTGGACAAAGGTGTTAAACCAAATTCTACGTTTTTTTATTCTGGAATGTTCCACATGTGTGGTTTTTCTACATCTAGGAAGAAGTAGCTCATGTGATTTTGTAAGTTTTTGCCCACTTTTCAATTCATCTCATGTGGACAGAAGGAGAGGAGGAGGTTTGTGGACCTTCATGTCATTTCTGTCGTAATTCTGGCCCTCCTCTGTTGCCTGTCGCGGAGTCCCCATATGGATGAGCACAGATAGGTCCACTCCCTCTCACGGTGGTTGGCCCTTTCTGAGATAAACAACTTGAAACACAAACATTAAAGCGCCAAGAGATAGCTGAATCTTTCATTTTCTTTAGTGTATGAGGATTTTTAGAAGGAAATCAGGTCAAGATAAGAAAAGCACCTCTTAGCTCCTTGACAAAGAAGTGAATTTAAAAAATAAATCACCGTATTTTTCCTTGAGGCTGTAAGGCCTGCAGTTAAAACAAAAAAAACCCACCATGTAAAAAAGTAAACCTTGAGCCTGAATTAGATAGACAGCCTAGTATCTTGAAAACTACATTTTAGATTCAGAGTCGGAAGACCTCGTTTTAACTTTTACTGGCTTGTATGACCTGGGGTAGATTTCCAGGCATCAGTGTCTTTAACTGTAATGCAGAGTTGATAATATTTACCTTTTTCCTCATTTAAAGTTATAATTTTGTAGGTCAAGTGGAGTCATGTATTTTAAAGTTCTTCGGAGACTGAAAAGTACAATATAACTCTAAAGTACTTTAATTGGAAATATCTGTAGATAAAAATATGCTCATGGATAAAAAGATCTGGTTACTTGCAAGTCTACAAGAAAATTTTAAAATGCAACGTGTATTATACCTGTGTCAGGTATTCTATGCACCAGCACTACTCATGTTTGGTTGTGATGTTGTCAGCTGTGGAGAAATGGGGTCTCCAGAGACTCTAAAAGGAGCATGCTATTGTAAATGGTAGACAGTTAATTCACCTTTAATGGGAAAATGTTAGGTGATGCTATTCAGGAGCTTTGGGGGATAATTATATTTAGGGCTCCATTGTATTCTTACAACCACGCCTCTTATGTCTCCTTTAAATTATGGTTCATTTGAAATGCTAACAACAGCAGCTGTGCTGAGGTGCTGGGTTTTGTAAGAAAACCGGTAGCTAAAATATGTCTGTACCTTATTCCTGTGCTTGGAGATTCAAAAAAAGAAAGGTGACTTTTAACCAAAGCAGGAGAATTAAATATGTATTTTATCAATAGGGAGAAGCACACTATTCAGCACAAGTTTCTAAAAGTACCATATTTGCCGGCGTATAAGATGATTTTTTGGCCCTGAAAAATATGCCTCCAAGTGGGGGGTCGTCTTATACGCCAGGTACACTTCAGATAGACTGCCCATAGTGCTTGCCCCGTGCCATAGTGGCCTCCCGATGCCCGCCCACTTCATTCCACATACCGTTCAGGCATCAGCAGCGCTCTGGGTGTATGCTCGGCTGTTATGCGATTTTGCTGTTATGCGATTTTACCACACTCGCAAAATCGCACACAGCCGACCATACACCCAGTATGATAGCGCAAAATCGCGAATCGCGATACCATACTGGGTGTATGCTCGGCTGTGTGCGATTTTGCGAGTGTGGTAAATTCGGGTTACCGTATATTTCTTTACATATGCATTGAAGATTCGCGATTTTGCGCTATCATGGTGCCTGTTAGAATGTTGAAGAGCTCGCACTTGCGCACTAGTGAGGTCCCAGGGAGATGCTGATGCAAGGGTGGACCAGACTGCTATAGTGACAGGGCGGGCAAACAGGGAGCAGGGACCAATCAAATCAGGCTTTGTATACAGCCAACAGCCAACCACAATACTGCACCATTGTACAGTACAGCATAGAAAATGTCGACCAGTCAAACCCCTATCATCCCTATCATGGCACCAGCCAAAAGAAAGAAGTATGATGCAAATTTTAAACTGAAAGTTATAAACTTTGCTAAGGAAAATAATAATTGTGCTGCTGCAAGACAATATGGAGTAACAGAAAAGATGGTTCGGGACTGGAAATCAAATGAGAAAGCATTAAAGAGTATGCCAAGGGGTAAGTGTGCATTAAGAAGAGGCACCCCACACTGGCCAGAACTCGAAAAACATGTAGCAGACATGGTGGCTCAACATCGCCAAAACGGTTATGTGGTGGCACGAAATACAATACGCTTGTTTGCACTTCAGTGGGTCAAATCAAATCTGATATTGTTTTACCTTTTATTTGGTGTGTGGAAGGTGTGTGGAAGAGGGGGTAGTCTTATACGGCGAGTATATAACAAACTCTGTATTTTGAGTGGAAATGTTAGGGGGTCGTCTTATACGCCCAGTCATCTTATACGCCGGCAAATATGGTAGTTATACAGGTCTGATACTTATATAAGTCAAATTAACTGGGAAATTATCAATTCAATCAGGATTTCTTTTTTTTTTCAGCTTTACCATGAACGAGATGTTTTATATAAATGATATTTATAATTTTTTTTCAAGCAGCAGCATCTTATTGGAAGCCTGTATTAGTGTCTTCAGGCTGCTGTAACAGAGTACCGTAAGGGGGGCAGGGGTGAAAGGGGGGATTAAATTAACAGACATTTATTGTCTGAGTTCTGGAGGCTGGCAGTTTAAAATCAAGGCAGGGGAATCCTTCCTTGCTTGTTCTTAGCTTCTGGAGGTCTGATAACAGTCCTGGCCATTCCTTGAGTCACCGCCGTAGCCGTTCGCTCTCTGCCGGCGTTGTCACATGGCCTTTCCCCTCTCATGTCTGTCTCTCCTCCTCTTATAAGGACACTAGTTATATTGGATTAAGGTGCAACCTACTGACCTCAGCTTAACTAGAAAATATCTGCAAGGACTATTTCCAAATAAGCTCATGTCCATAGATACTGGGGATCAGG